CCCCCCCCCCCCCCCCCCCCCCGGGTGACAGCAATGAGCGAAGAGTAGCAGCAGGGGGGGTGTGGTTTTGTGTGGCCGTAGTGCTTGATTTGATAGGTTTCATATTTTGGGGTCATGTTGAGCTGCAATAATATCAGTACCGGGTGTGGTATTCGGTAGGACTTCCTATTACGGTTTTGGCGTGGAGGTACGCAGCAGCAGTGGAAACAATGGGACATTCTAAGGGCCGGGCACGTACGTTTCCGGCTGAAGGTTTGTGATGGCGCACAGGATTTTTTTTTGTTTTCACAGGTGTATCGATGAAATCAACTCGCATCTTGCAAAGGTGCCAGTAGATCCGCAAGGGACGCAGTATCTGACGACCGATGCATTACTTTGTTCGTTTGTATTTCTTTGGCGTGTTATTCGGGCATGTTGCATCTCTTCTGTTCGTCGGATTTCTGAATCCTGCCCAGTTTCACGCAGAACGCATTGCCTGACACGATTGAGCCACAACTATTTCACTCGCATGCGCTTTCATAGAACGAGTGCATGGCCATGTCGTTTGGTTTGGTGCGGTTGCACCTTTGTTTTCCCGGGCGGGCCCTATGCCCACTGGGCTTTCTTTTGTTGCGCTGTTGTTTCTCCTTGGATGTTGGGCGTGGTTCCGGATGGGCTCACTGCCTTTGTCGTTTTTTCTTCGGTTTTTCCTCAGGTGGACCCGATCACGCGGAAGCAGCAGGTGGCGAACAGGGCGAAGCTCGAGGCAGAGCGGAAGGTACCGTGGTTCAGCAATTGTGACCCAAACGCAAACGTTCTTTTCATGATTTTTCCAAGAATTTTCCTCGTTGTTTTGTTCCAGATTCCTCCCCCGCGCTTGGTTGGGTATGGATGTGTCTTCTTTTCCTTCGAAGGAGCACCCGAAGATGTTTCGGTCTGTTTGTAGTTATTCCACGAACGTGCTTGTTTCGGGGGCGTCGTTTCGCTGAAGAACCAAAAGCTTGGGAGTCCTCCACATGGCAGCAGTATGGTGTGCAAGAAACTAGGTGAAGGAGTCGATTTTAATCAATTCCTACCGGTACAGGTCGCGCTGTCGGTCGGTACATCTCGTGACAGAATCGGTAGACGAGAGATCGAAAAGGACGCGCTCTTTGTATTATGATTTTTAGGCTTCTTGATCCATAGCTACAACTTGTTCAACGGCAGTCTGTCTGTTGCTTTTTGCCCCTCACGGCAACGACTCGTGTGCGTGTGACGGCGGCATCTCGACAGAGAGACGCGTTCGAGCGAAGGGCGGAAGAGTTCGCCACAGAGGCGTCCAAGCTGGAGGAGACCATGAAGACCCAGCTGGAGCAACAGAAGGAGTGGAACAAGGCGTTAGTCGAGAGAAGGATTGTGAGGCACCACCACGCCACTTTGTCACCTGGAACAACCACGTACCCGTGGTGCTTTTCACCGGGCGGGGGGATTGGAAAGAGTCACGGAGCCTCCGTGAATAGTCCTCAGAGTCGCCTTCGATCGCACACTCCTGGAGCGAACGTGCCCACAATTAAAATCAAGCCGGCCGTCTTCGTTTCCCGGTTCGGGACTTTGTTGAGTTTCGTACAGCAACAGGAGAGCCGCTGCCTTGATTGTTGTACCTCGCGCTTTCTCTCCCAACCCCCCGCATGTGTGGTTGACGTTGTTTGGTTGACGTTGTGCGGTGTTGTCTCCACGGGGTTTCACCAATCGCTCTAGCTGTTCGGTGTGTATCTTGTTGTCTTTTTTTCTACGCGTGTTGGGTGAGCAGTGCGCCACCGTGCGGGATAACTCGAACACATGCGGTCCCCGACCCCACTTGTAGCCATGGGGCGCAAACAGGGTCGTTCGCCGAGGAATCGCGGGCCGCCGACGGCATCCTTGTGTGCTATCAACGCACGTCGTAGCTGTGTTTGTGCAACGACACTACCAAGCTTGTGCCATACGCCCTTTTGGTTTTCTATCTCAGCGAGGTCCAAACGTGCTTTTACGGGTCACCGTGGGCAGGAGGCTGTGGAACGGCAAAATATGCGTTAGACACATGACCTCATGTTTTCTATGTCATGGAGGTCCAAACATGCGTTTCGTGGGTGACCGTGGGCAGGACGGTGTGGAACGGCAAAACATACTTTGGACCCCTTGCCCTCTTGTTTTCTATCTGGGCGAGGTCCAAACATGCTTTGTGTCGGTCGCCGCGCAGGAGGTAGCCTCGGCGAGAAAGTCTCTGGAGAGCGCCGAGTCAATCACGAAGGAGGCCGCGGAGGTGGCGAGCGATCGCAAGGCTAGCGAACTCGCTGCGGCGGAGAAGGCACGGCGGTCTAGGGCCGCGCGGGAGGAGTTCTTGCAAGGTGGGAAGGAATAAACAGAGCGCGTGTGGGGGGGGGGGGGGTACTCATAGTCGGGCATGCCGTAGTCGTTAGACCATTGACCTCGCATCCCTACAAAGCCGGGACGGAGCATGCCGGGTTCTCACCGGACCAGGCTCTCACATCACCAAGCGCGAAGCGCCGTGAGATATTCGGCGAGTCGCATGAAGGGTGCGCTGCATCCTGCTAAGGGTGTTCGGCATCTTGTGCTTACTTCCTTGCGTACGGATGACAGCTGCGTATGACTTAATTTACTTTCTGGTGCTTTCACTTCCAGAGACAGTTGTAAGCACTGTGTAACTGCCTCGAGGGTGCTCGACCATTTTAACACAACGTGGTGCGATCATCCCCCTTGCGCGGAGCGAGTGTTCTCCACCCCGCACAACATGATCTACTCGACCACCATTATGGTTACCGCCAAAAAAAAAAACGGAGGTAAAAAAAAAAACGGTAACCTGGTTGCCGAGTTCACGAAGTGAATTGGCTTGTTTTACAACGTCGTTGCCAAGCGACGAAAACCCAATCCCGATGGCAAACACCGGGGGGGGGCGGCTTGTTTTACAACGTCGTTGCCAAGCGACGAAAACCCAATCCCGATGGCAAACACCGGGGGGGGGCGGCTTGTTTTACAACGTCGTTGCCAAGCGACGAAAACCCAATCCCGATGGCAAACACCGGGGGGGGGCGGCTTGTTTTACAACGTCGTTGCCAAGCGACGAAAACCCAATCCCGATGGCAAACACCGGGGGGGGGCGGCTTGTTTTACAACGTCGTTGCCAAGCGACGAAAACCCAATCCCGATGGCAAACACCGGGGGGGGGCGGCTTGTTTTACAACGTCGTTGCCAAGCGACGAAAACCCAATCCCGATGGCAAACACCGGGGGGGGGCGGCTTGTTTTACAACGTCGTTGCCAAGCGACGAAAACCCAATCCCGATGGCAAACACCGGGGGGGGGCGGCTTGTTTTACAACGTCGTTGCCAAGCGACGAAAACCCAATCCCGATGGCAAACACCGGGGGGGGGCGGCTTGTTTTACAACGTCGTTGCCAAGCGACGAAAACCCAATCCCGATGGCAAAACCGAGCGCGTGTGGGGGGGGGGGGTTGATAGCGTGGAGTTAAGGTCTTGTGGATGAAGTGCATTGTTTTTCGAATCGTCACACTTTTTTGCCACGGATCGCACTCAAGGGTGAAGTGGATTGATTTTGTAAGGGTAACGGACATTTCGCCGCACTTTTTTGGCATAGACTCGAGTTCTCAAGAATTAAGAGCATCTTTTTTCTGAGGAACAACACGTTCCGAGGGCGTTGTTTCTGCGTGCGGGCGGCAGTACTGGAGAAGTCGAATTATGATGTGTTTGGCACGAGATTCGTTTGGATACGTCGTATGGCCTTGCAGTGACTCGGCGAGGGCATGTCGGCGTGTTTTTGGCGTGCTCACCGATGATGGAACCAGGAGTCGTCACCAGCTACAAAGGGCGCAGGGACTTACATGCTCAGGAGCTTGTAAAGAGGGTGACAGGGAAAGCGAGATAGAGGGAGCGAGGAAAGAGGCAGGGGGGCATGTCAGACAAGTGGGAAGGCGGATTGAGACAAGAGGATCGCCTACATGCGCAGAGATTGAAAGACGATCACCCTTTCCAGCCACCATAGCCCGAAGCACACGGCTAAAAGGCCGTTCCCCTTGTTTCCCAACCAACGACATTAGCCAACACCCAACGCCAAGCAGGGAAAGTATTTATCTTGACCCCTCCCCCCCCTCCCCTCGTTTCCCCGTCGTCGTGCCCCGTGGACCACCTCTCGTGCTCTCTTACTTTTGCCTCCTTTTTGTGCCTGGTTTGCAGCGTCCGCTAACTCGGAAAAGAAAGTATCCACCGCAGAGGCCACGGTGACCGCGGCAGAGAGGCGACTGTGGGAGGTGGGCACACTGGTGTCGAGCTACACTAGGAGATGTCTAGTTTAGATGCGGCACGTCCTCTCCGTGAGGTGGCTAGCTTGTGAAGGCTCGCCCCCTCTGGCAAGGAAATGTGGCCGCTCTCTGCCTGCGAACCGCCCTCCGAAAGGGCCCGCGAAAGACATGGCTTGCGGTTTGCGAATCCGATCAGTTCGAGTAGCCCGGTAAAAATCGGCGACCTCGAAGGTTGTCAATCGTGAGCGGTTTGTGCGCATCGTGCTTCTTGGAACTCGCTTCTTCTGTTACTATTGCGTGCGGCGATTCCGCCCTTGGCCTTTCCGATTTGTAGTAGCATCCCGTCGCAAGTTGTTTGTGTTGGCCAGGGCCGTGCTGTACCCACCGCCCCGCAGCAACCAATCTCTTCTGCGTTGTTTGGAATACCTCCTTACTGTCCCTCTAAAGCTGCTTGGTATGCGCCCCGTGTTCTTGTCGGAAAAACTCTCGTGGCCCTCCCTGCTTTCGTCATCGTCCAACGTCGCATACGCTGCATTTTTTGTTGTGTCTTTATCTTAACGAGTGTGTAGAATCGCCATTCATGTCCGGCCCTTCGCTTTTCTGCACCGTACCGGTTGGCTGGATTCGTCACTGGTCTTGGCCGCAGGCGCTCAAGACCTTGGACACCGCGCGGCATATGTTGGCAATGACGTGCGAGGAGGCTACCGCCTTGGAAGGGACGCGAGATCAGGCAAGCTTTGACGCTTAAGCGCCACACACGCACACCCGTCAGGGTCGAGGAAGCACCAGGAAGATTGTTCTTTTGTGTTCATGGAGGCATGGAAGTTGCCGCTTTCTAGTTGCAGATTGACGGGAAATGGATGTTCGCATCACCTGGGGGCTGACTAGTGCACCGCCAATGGAGCATACGGCACAAGCATAACCTGTAGGAGTGTGAGAGCGTAAACAAAACGGTGCACCCCAATACACCCGGCCTCTGCACCCCCAGTCCTCCCCGAACGCTGCTTTCTCTCCGCCTGGGATACCCGCCTCCTCCTTCCTGATCTCCCCCCATCCCACATTCGAAAGTTTGGGAATCCCTCAGGGGATGCATGTTATCCAGCTGGTGGTCTTGCCTGTTTTTCCTGTTTGGGGCTCTTTTCTTTTGCGGAATACAATGACGACCCCCGCCGACCGACCGCGTGTGTGTACGTATACGTTCAGGTGATGGCCGACACAGCATCGGCAGAAGACGTCTTTGCGGAGGCGAAGGAGGCCACCCTAGCGAGCAAGGCGGCCTTGTCGCAGCAGCGGACGGACCTCGCGGCGCTCCAGAAGGAGTTCCGGGAGAGAAGCAGGCGGGAGGAGGAAGCCATGGCCAAGATCAAGGAGGTGTTACGTGTTGACAGAGTTGTCGGATGTTCTAGTTTAGGCTTGAAGGCTCGCGATTGGCGGCCGCTTCCTTCTCCCCGATTGGGAACTTTAGATTCCGTTACAGTTACAGTTACAGTTACAGTTTGACAATCACAGAAGACTAATACCCGTTCGTGATATCGCCCCATTCGATGGGGTGTGTTACTCGCCCTTACGGCAGTGAGTGATGAGTTTTGTTTTTTCTTTTGCTGAGTGGGAAGGGTTCCCGTCGGTGTCAGAGGGTTCCCATGCGTTCACGGAATCATCCGGGGTTACCCTGGGATGACCACGATCCATTGTGCAAAAGCATACCACTTAACTACACCTCCCCTATCGGCCTCATCTAAATCCCCCGCCCCCGGCCGGGAGGTCAGTACAGTTAACGGTACCACGTTTTACCACGCGGGGAGCACAGGATTAGAATTTCACGCCGAAATACAGGCGACCTTGTATTGATGCCTTTCTCCTCAACGTTGCTGCCGCTGACACCCCCCCCCCCCCCCCCCCCCCCCCCCCCCCCCCCCCCCCCCCCC